GAAAAGGTGCCAGCACAGAAAGCCCTGCCTGCCCACCTTATACCAAAAGTCGGCCATTAGCTGAACTTGAGAGACACACGGTAAAGCTTTTCTTTCCATTATTGAACTGCACCCCGTCTATTGATGAAGTGCTCCACTTAAACTCCCAGTCCTATTCCAGAAAAACCCTTAGCCGCAGACCTACCTCATAGGCCACCAAAGACAGCTGGGAAGGAGAGCGGTTCTTCTCTTTTACTCCCTCTGCCTGGACGACCCGCTGTTCCAAGCGCCATGCCTTACGAACAGGCCACACCCCTCTTCTCCTGCTCCAATTTCTATCACCCAGAAACCACCTGGACTCCACCCCCTGGTCAGCTGATTAGGTCTCGCAAGGCAGCTGGGCTGAGCCGGGCTGAGCCGGGCTGAGCTGGGAGCAGTTTCTCCCTGCAGTTTAAATCCCCCACAAACGCCCTCAGCTCCAGTCAATGATGAGATGATTAGAGCTTGCAGTGCAGCTCCGTTCACCCGCGCTGAACTGAAAGGAGCTCCTCCATGAAGTAAAAATCTCCGAGGAAGAACCTCAACTCGTCTCCTGGTTACCTCACAAGGTCCTTAGGTGCAGATGAGCTGATGTGGCTTGCTCGAATACCAGGAAACAGACCACTTACTCCGCACAGAGTGCCCAGGCTGCGCCACACACTGCACCTGAAAGCTAAAGCTCATCAGGCTTTCTGTCCTGGGGCACAGGGCTGCTGTCCCAATGTTTCTTGCAAATCCCACCTTCCTGCCTTTGCCAAGTTAGGCAATATCAGCCTTTCCTTGGCTATGAGAAGTTTCCTTTATTTTTAACAAAGCAGAATAATTCCAAGTCCCGTCTGCTAAGCATAAGCAGGTGGGTGACAGAAGGCAGTGGGGTGTAAGCCCTCCTGGTACCCCAGCTTTTCCCTTTGCCTCTTCCTGACCTGGTTGCTGTTTGTCCTGCCAGGCCAGGGATCCTGAATCCCTCCAAGGGTCCTGGAATTGATGAACTAGAGGTGTAACTGAGGCTGGGTTTTACCCCAGTTAAAGAGGAGTTGCTGAACCAGCCCAGCATACGGAACCTCTGCCCTCATAGAGCAACTGGGAGCAACTAAGGGGTTTTACAGAAATGCCGGCAGGATAAAGGGTTTGGATGAGCTTTCCCAGCAGCCAGTGCCCTGCTATGTCTGCCTACAGATCCGTTTTCTGTCTGTATTTCCTGCAGCCGACTCCAAGCAGAATGGGATGGTGTCTTAAAAGCTGGTGGGGTGGGAAAGGGGAAGATCTGTGTTAATTTACAATTCCACAAGATTATCCTTTCAGTCTGTTTTACTTTTGGAGTGTGAAGAACAAGGGGAAGTGGGGTGCAGTGGGGAACCAGTGGAATCCACCAGGCAACTAAAACTAAGCTGGACAATGCTTTTCTCTTTTTCCTTCTTTTCTTTTCCCCGTTCCTACAGAAACTATGTGAAGGATAATTTTAATGTGTGGGAGACGATAAGAGAGAGAGCAGTGGGAATGTTCTAAGAGCTTTTACACGTTTCTTTCACAGTCTGACTGCCCCTACTCAGAAAAAGTCCCAAGGATTAAAATACCAATGGACATCATGGAGCCTTTCCTAAGTGATAGCAAACCCGCCGACAGTGAGTAGAACTAACTTCTCGCATGCCTGCTTGACTCTGACTTGCACTACAAATATATATCTATATATTTAGAGTGATTTTTTAAAATTTTTTAATCTTTCCTTTTACTTGAGAAGTACTTTTTCTTGTTCTCTTTTTTTTCCTCTCTTTTTTGATTTCCAGGCCTCTGCTTTATGACAGATTTTGCTTTTGTGAGCTTTTTGTTTTGGGTTTTTTTTCCTTTGCTGGTTACAAAATCAATGTTGTTCCTTCTGGTGCCTCCAGCTTAAGTGCTTTTCTCCAGCTCCTGACAGGTCTCCTGGCCACCCACTCTCTGCTCTCCTCTGCTCTCCTCTGCTCTCCTCTGCTCTGCTCTGCTCTCTGAACCTCTTCTCTCCTCTCTGAACCTCCCCGAACCTCTCCTCTCCCCTCCCCTCCCCCTTGGTGTTAACCTGCTGATGGTGGGATTTATTTTTTTCCTCTGAGTCTGGTGTTCTGGATTTCCAGCGTTGTCCTGTCACTGTTTGTTTCCTTAGGTGCCAAGCAGTTGCAAAAAAAATCAGCACTTAACAGAGTAATTAATTATTTGTGTCATTAAGCTGCCCAGGCAGGGATCAGTTGGTCATTAACTTATTTCCCTTCTTCGATGATTTGCTTTTGTGCTCTTCTCTTGGTTTTAATTTCTCCCGTTAAGATCCGTAAATGCTGATTGTAATCTTTATTTTCAGTCATTCCCACTTTACATTTTCCTCTTTTAAGTGAGGAATCACAGCTGACCTTGGCTTTTTTGCCTTTGGGCTGACTTTTTAATATACTAAGGGTGTCCTATACTGTTTTGTTGTGAGTTGGGAGGGGAGAAATACAAATCAGAGTAATAAATTAGTGCTGCTGCCAGACTGGTAATTCCTGGGAGTAGGACCTAAAGCCCTAGATGATAAATCCTTAAATTATCCTTAGGGTTTAAGAGCTGGGACCCAAGTCCCTTTCCTTTTGGTGGCATAGAGAGGCCTTGGGCAACCGGAGCATTGCTCTGTGGGTTTCAGATACAGAAGTATCTAAAAGTTCTACCTCTTATTTCTAGATGCCAGGCTTTCTGTAAAAAATATATTGTACCATATATAATGTGATTTTTACAAAAAAACAAACCCACCACACCACAATCTCCAGGACGTGGCGCAGGGCTGGATCGGTTCCATTAACACCTTCTGCTCCGAAGCATCTGGCTGGTTTAGGGTTGTGTTGGTTTTATGGGTTTTATTTTTTATGAGTAATCTTTGCTGTGAAGGAGACGGGATGTGATCCGCATCCTCCTGCATCCCACACCATCATCTGTGGAATTTACCCGAAATCTTGGCTACTCAGCTTCTCAGCCCCAGACCCGGCAATGCAGCAGGACCAAGCAGGCCAGGCACGGGCATCCCAGGATTTTGGGGTGGCACCAAGTGAGCAATCACCTCAGGGGAGGATTTTCTCTCTGTAGTGTGTTTATACTGGTGTGTGCATCTAAACAAGCCTTTGGGAAACTGGGTTTCACCAGGACATGAGGGAACACGCTAAAAGCTTCGTCCAAAAATTATAATAAGAAGAAAGAATCCCCGGGCTGTCCAGGTGAATTCCCTGATGGAGACAACCCCACTGCAGAGGAAGGGCATGTGCTGCCGCTTGGTCCTTGTGAAACCAAAGTTCCTGTTGGTGAAGTAGAGAGGATTTTCTGATGGTGCTGAGACCTTAAATGCCAAATTTGAGCATCTGATTAAATCAGATCTGATTAAATCAGATTAAATTTGAGCATCTGATTAAATCAGAGCGGCTGATTTAACACCTAGAGGGATTCGTGGGCTACAATGAGGACACTGAACACGAGCCTGGTGCTCCTGAAAAGGGCAGGTATTGACCTGACAAGTGCCTCAGATCAATCTGTGACAAGAAGTGGGAGGTGGAGTTGGTACCAGAGTCGCTGTCCCTTCACACACAGTTAGTCATTGGCCTGCAGAAAAGAAGGGGGTTCCTGCCTGCTGCTCTGCCCTGGCACTGCCCCGTTCCCTGGGAAAGTGCAGCTCTTGTCACTGCAGTGTAAAGGTGGGGAAAAGGCAGCGAGAGAAAGGCAGCCCAGCTTGGGGGGTGACCCTCCCTTCCTTCAGCTGCTGGGAAACGTGGCCAGGGGTCCCTCAGAGGCACTCCAGCTGAGGAGCTGCACCACTGCCAGAGGGACTTGGCAGGGACGGGGCAAGGGCAGCTCCTCAAATGCCCAGCTGGAGGAACGAGCCGCCCAGGCCTCCGCACCAAGCCCTGGACAGGGCATTTGGGCTGCTGGGGAATGGCCCAGCAGGGAGGTTCTGCTCCTGCCAGCCCAGCTGTTGCTTCCAACCGCATAGGAGGGGGAGGTATTTTGTCAGGGCAGTCGCTCATGGAATGGGTTGCCTGGGGAGGTTGTTGGATCCCCATCCGTGGAATGTTTCAAAACATGACTGGATCCCTCCCTGAGCAGCCCGGTCCGATCCCATTGGTGACTGTGGCCTGAGCAGGAGGTCAGACTTAGAGACCTTGAACTGTCTCTTCTGACCCAGATTCCTCTACAGTCCTGCAGCAGTTCTGGCTTCTTACAGTCCATGAGACCTGTTGGTTCCACAGTCTGCAGAGAAGCTCCTTTGCCCAGCAGGCAGTCCTGGAATGGCCAGCCATCCATGGCAGAGATTCCCAGAGCTGCCATGTGCCCCAGCTGTCCCTGAGCCCCAGCTTTGGCCTCGGCACTGAAACGCTGCCAGGACCTGTCCCTGCTGTGCAGGTCCGTGGGGCTGCAGGACACGGTGTCACACAGCACACACGGCCACTGGGTCCTGCCAGCTCCTGCAGCCTGTGCTTCCTGATTGCCGGGGATTTTAGGGGCCACCTGTCTCCAGGGCTGGGCAGGGAAACAGAGATTTCCTGTGCCTGGGAGCAAGGCAGGGCCTTGCCAAGGCAAGCAAATCGCCTGGGCTTCAGGTGCCCGTGTGCAATTCCATGTCCAGGGTGTCTCCCCCAGCAGCAGGTTCCTGTCCCCAGTTCCCGATCTCCCTCAGCGGAGCGGGCGGGGCGGGGCCGCGGGGACCGGCGGGCTGGGATTGGGCGGCGGCGCTCGAGCGCTGATTGGGCAGCGCTGCCGGCCCGCGGTATAAAGGGCCGGCGGGGCGGGTGGGGCCGGTTGTGTGTGTGAGGGCTGAGGGCGCGGCCCCGCTGCTGCCCGGGCTGCGGAGGGGAGAGCGCCTTGGCCGCTGGGTTTGTGGGCCGGGGGAGCCGGGGGGCGTTTAGGGGCGCGTTGTGCTGGGCAGCGGGGGCCGGGTAAACCCCTTCCCTGCCGGGTGACCCTGGGGGAGCCGTGGCAGGACTGGGGGGCTGGTGCTCTCTGGGTGGATCGAGTTTTGCTTTGGAATTCCAAAGCCTTTCCCTGTGCCGGGTTCCGAGGCAAAGACTGCTTTAGCTTGGGGTTTTTTTGGTGCTGCGTTAATGCTTTTTGCTCGTTCTGTGTCAATTTGCAGCCTGGCTCGTGGTTTCCCCTGGTGCTGGGGAGTGGAGGCGAGTTGTGCTTCCTGCTGGGAGAGAGAAGGGCCTTGGGAAGCTGCTCCATGAGCCACAGCTGTGCCGAGCCCGGGAGTCTGTCCAGGTAAGAGCAGGGCTTATACTGCCCGTGAGGAGCTGGGTTCTGCTGCTGAAACATGCCCATGCCTTGAAATGCAAGGACAGGCAGAAGCTGGGAGGGACCCTGAGCACATTTGAAAAGCCCTTGACTGTGGGCGAAGTGTCCAGGAGAAATGATTCCTTTTTTTGCAGGGAGGCAGTTTGTGAGGACAGGGGGGTTGCTGTGCTCTCTAGCCAAACTACTCCCCTTGGGATGTGCAGGGTGAGGAAATGTTGGCCACGTGTGGGCTGGAGCAAAGGTGTGTGGGTGGCTGTGTGTGACAGCCGTGTGTGTGCTGGAAGGGGGTTCTGGTGCCACTGGAGCTGCCAGGGAGCCAAAAGGGGCCCAGTTGTCTGAAAAAGGTGCAAGCTCTGTTGGCCTCTGTTGACACCTGCACCAAAGGAGATGCAAATTTTCCCCCTCTTGGTTGCAGGCTTCACAAAGGTCCCAGGAAAGGAAGTTTTAGATTCCAACTCCCCTTTCTGCTAAAGGTTTCCTTGCTCTCTCAGCAGGATGTGGAGTGCCACCATGTCCCCGAGGTCACCCTTTCTGCTGCTGGGAGAGCATGAGGTGGATGGAGAGGATCCCCAGGCATCTGCAGGCAAAAGGGACTGGCACAACTGTGATTTTTCTCCAGCTCTCTTAAGGTGGACTTTCAGGGTACCATGGGTAATGTGCCAGCTCTCCTGCTGGAGTTCTTGTCTTCTGCTATATTTGAACATCAAGAGTAAAACTACAGTCAGGTGTGTTCTGGAGTATGTTACACTTGTGCAAAGCTCCTTCCCTCTGTTGAATTTCTGTTCTGGAAAGCACAGTCTGGGGTTCCTGGGCACTTCCTCTTAAATGATTCCATGAAAATAATTTTGTACTGAAAGGAGAAAGGAGCTGTCTGTTTGAGAACAGATGTCATTGATAAAAGCTTGATGTTTTTTCACTCAGTAAGCTTTTAAAATATCTCATAGTGTGTAGGAATGCCTGGCTTCTAAACCTCACCAATTGAGTCTTAGAAGTTTCTTTGAAGAGCTGTTTTCAGGCAGCAGAATTGGCCCTGCAGGAGGGACTCTGTGCCTGCTCTCCCGTGGCTCCAAGGGATCTCTGGGCCTTCACGCCGGCACCGAGATTTTCTCGGGAAGGGCCTCAGATCCCCGGACCAGTCTGGGACACAGGCAAGATCCCCCTGCATTTAGAAATGAGGCCTTGTTGTGGCTTCCTCCCCGTACCCATTGGTGGGTTCCAAAGAAGGGCTCTTGAAATGCCTTTTGGGCTGTCCATTGAAGCCTTGGGACCAAATTGGGCCCCCCTGGAGGGACAGTGCTGTTGGTGCCCCCCGGGTTGGGGCACCCCGAGGACTCCAGCGCGCACCGAAAGGATTATTCGGGGAGATCCTCGGGGTGCCCGGCCCTGGGGAGTTCAAAGCAAGGTCCCTGCACTGGATTCAGGCATTGCTGAGAGTATCCCAGGTGTAGCTGTCCATGCTAGACATGGAGCTCTCTACTGGACTGTAATTGGGTTCTAAAAGTGGTGCTCCAAGTGCAAAGGAAGTGTGGGATTGGGGTTAAGAAACGAGCAGTGATGGTCCAATTGGCTGTTTTCTCTTGAATGTAATGGTAAGAGCTGCAGGAGTGCAAGGTGTGTGTTCCAGTCCCCAGCATTTGTTTTGCACATGTCCTGCTCAGACCCAGGTTCAACTTCCTCAGTCCTTAACACAAGAGAAGGAGAATTAAGGACTGGCAGTGTTAAGGTGACTGGTGTGACAGGGGTTAAATTGGGAAAACATTGGGGAATTCCTCAGTTTGTCTCTTTGCCAAACTCACCCAAACCTGTGCTAGGAAGAGATTGAGTGGAAAAGTTGAGGCAGAAATGAAATTAAAAACTGGGGATGTTGAAACTGTAATTGCTGGAACTAAATGTGTCAAAGCAGCAGCTCTTGTTGTGCAGGGAATAACTCCTGTCAGCAGCAAGGTCCCGACTGAAGTGGCAGCTGCAATTGTTCCTGTGGTGTGGGCCAGTGGAGTTCCAGGAGAGTGGAAGAGGGCAGAACCTGTAGGTATTACCCCTAATGTGGGATCTATATGGGTAAGGCAAAGCCAGTATCCTTTAAAATCAGAATTCCAGCTTGGATTGGTTGCAGTAACAGCTAAATTGGCTCATCCTGGTTTGCTTGTAGGACGTGAATGCAAGAACCTGCCAAGGAACCAATGGCCAAGATGATTGATGAGTGCAGGACCTGAGAGAACCACCTTGAATGACAATCTCCAGGAGTTTCCAGTATTGGATTTAAAAGATGGCCTTTGCTGCATCTCCTTGAGCAAGGAAAGCCAAGAAACCTTTGCCTTTGAAGGAGAAAATCTGGAAAGGGGAAAGGAAGAAGAGAAGCCACCTGACTCCTCCTGAGCCCCAGACAGCCCCTGAACTGCCTTCCTGGGAATGGTAGGATGGGGTGGACTCTGGATTGCTCCCTCTGGATGTGTGGTAAGACTTTTATACCAGGTTTTAAGAACAGCCTGTAAGCATTTGCTGCCTTGGCTAGATGGTGCAAGGGCAGCCTTTAAGCAGCTCAAGCATTCCCTGAGGAGAGCTCTGGGTCTGCCAGATCTCTCAGAACTGTTGGAAGCATCTTTGCTGGGGAGGGCAAACAAAGGACAAGGTGTGCAGTGACCCCCCTGACAAGGGACTTTGAGTTAATGGCATCCCTGCAAGTGAACTTTGTGGGCTGTTCCCCCTGTAGGGCAGGTGATAGTCCCAGCTAGAGTGATGGGAAAAATGGTTAAAAGAGAGCCCCAAAAGCTGGAAATCCTCCTGGAGGCTCTTGGCAAAGAGAGTTTCCTGAGTTGCCCCTGCAAGAAGGATAGTGACAGCTTTTGAGTGCTGGTAGATGCTTTTAATAGATAGCCTTGAGTGTGTCCTTGTTGCACCAGTAGGCCTTGTCAAAGTCCCCATATTCCAGGAGATATACCTATTGAAGTTTAAAATGATCTCCATAATCCTTTGTTGGCTTGAGGCTCTCCCCTGAGGAACTCCAGGAACTCCTGGTGCCGCCTGGGCCGATGGATTGGACGCCCCAGCCCCTCCGTTCCTGCCCAGCCCCTGGGTCCGTGTCAAGGGGTGGCACTGCCAGCCCCTGCAGGTGAAGTGGGAAGGGCCTTTCCAGGTCCTGTGGGTCACATTTATAGTAGCCAAAGTTGCAGAAAAAGGACCTGGGGTCTATTATTGCTGAGTTCGGAAAGCTCCTTTTGGTTGGTGAGCAGAACAAAGTGGATCCTTCAGAGTTCCCATCCGTGTTTGTGTCTCAGCCTGTGTTATGATTCAGGGCTGTAGCTGTTGTTGTCACTGAGGAGTCAAACTCTGCTTTAAATCATGAGACACTGGCCTAATGGCCGAGTGTCAGGAAAAAAGTGGGAATGATACCTGAGTGTTGAGATGTAACAAGAGCTAATCCTTTTTGCAGTGGGATGTAGCCTGGAAACTGCACAGAGCTGAGCCAAGGGATTTAAAGGGACTAACCAAGGGAGGTGAAGAAAGAAGGAAGAAGGGAAGTGAAGCAGCAGCCAAGCAGCACCAAGTTCCTGTGTAAGCAGGTGAGTTGTCTTGAGGTTCCTAAGGCAGGCACTGAGGACTTTGAGGGCTCCAGACAGAGCAGACCTGGGAAGGCCCTCGGTGAAGCCCCTTGGAAACCTTCTAAGGGTAGGTGTGTATGGTAGTAAGTGTTGGAAAATGTCCTGAATGTGGAACAGGAATGCAGGGAAGGAAAATGAACCCTCATGTAATGCTGCCATATCAGCTGCAGTGGAGATAGCTGTGTGTGACCTTTGGGAGCTGATTGCCAGGACACCTGGTGGGCTGGAATGATTCAAGAGCATAGGAATAAAAGGTTGCCTGGCTTCTAAAACTCATCAGTTGAGTCTCAGAGGTTCTTGTAAGAAATTTTAGCTAACACCTGAACACTTGTGTGTACTGCTGAGTTCAGTTGGAAGGAGATTGTCCAGGGAAGAGCAATCGTGCTCAGTGCAAGGAGTTGCCCTTGATGAACTTCCTGTCTGAGCTGATGGCCTTGGCAGGAGAAGTGCTCAGCAAGGAGGCTCTTTGCTCCTAGGCAGGAAGAAAGGCCAGTGCCCTTCCTCCCCAAGGCCCAGCCCAGCAGGGCTGGCAGGAGCTGCTGGTGTGGCTGCTCTTTGGGTTCTCAGCTGTGGCTGTGGGGTGGTGACCTCGTGTTCCTCCCTGTGCTCCAGGGCAGCCAAAAGCCCCAGCCCAGCCCCTGGGCCTTTCTGGGAGCCTGAGCTATTGTAGTACTGGGGATGGGGGTTTGGGTTTTTGTTTCCCTAAAAGTAGAACCATTGGGGGGGGGATCTCTTATCTCACAGTTGTTGTTGTTGTTTTGATATCTGAATTAATTACAACTTGAGAAGAAAACCTTGTGTAACTTAGCAACTGACTTGCACTGGTTCCACTGAAAGTGCCAAGGAGTTGTAGTGTCCACTGGATTGTTTGTATTGAAGCAGTTTGGTGTTTACAGAGGGATAATAACTCCTGTCAGCAGCAAGGTCCTGACTGAAGTGGCAGCTGCAGTTGTTCCTGTGGTGTGGGCCAGTGGAATTCCAAGAAAATGGACAAGGACAGAACCTGTAAGAATTCCCCCTAAGCCAGAGTCTCTCCTGGTAAGGCAAACCAAGTATCCTTTAAAATTAGGAAGCCAAGCTGGATTGGTTCTAGTAAGAGCTAAATTTGCTGCTGATGGTTTGATAGCAGAATGTGAATGCAAGGAGCTGTAAAGAAAGGAAATGGGCAAGATGATTGATTGCTGGGAGCAGGGGCTGGCAGACAGTGGCACTGGCTGTTTGGTTGTGGTTGGGAATGAGCAGCTTGACCTGCCCAGGGTTGTCTGTGCTGGGGGTGGGTTTGGGTCCTGTGTGGCCACAGGTCTGTGCAGCAGCTGGAGCCTGGGCAGGTTTGGGGGCTGTGGTGTGCCAGGCTGCTGAGTGTGTTGTCCCTGTTTGCTTGGAGTGTCCCAGTGTCCCTGCTTGGCTGTTTGTTGCCCTGCAGGCAGAAGAGCCCAGGCCTGAGATGGCTGAGTGTTGGTGTGACCCAGAGTGGGTGTCCCTGCCCTGGGGACAGTCCCCAGAGCTGCCTTTGGCATCCCCTGCTGAAGGGTGGGAGCTGCCCAGAGCCAGCAGCATCCAGCTGGAGGATCCAGGAGGATGCAGCTGTGTTTTCCTGGGAGGTAAGAGGTGGGGGTGCAGGAGCTGGCAGGAGTGTTTTGCAGGCAGAGGGAGGGCAGGAGCAGGAGACTTGCAGGTGCAGCAGCTGTGTCAGTGCTGGATGGAGTCGGGGCTGGGAAAGGGCCCTGAGTGTCAGGGCAGGGGAGAGCCCCGGGTGGCCCTGGGAGCCCTGGGGCTGTGAACAAGTGCAGTGGGCAAAGGAATGGGCACTGGAGAGCTGGGCAAACAGCTGGAGGAGTTGCAAGGAGAACCAGGAGTCTGGGATCCAGGAGCAGCAGCAGCTCCCTGTGTGTGTGTGTAGAACCAGGTGTACTGCAGCCCCGAGTGAGGTGGGAAATGAACCTCAGGAGGCTGGGAACGAGTCCCACAAACTGGTTAAAGTGGGATGGACTCTTCCCAAGTGTCTGAAAAGCTTTTCTTAGTGTTGCTTTCTCAATTGAAAACTGGAGTGATTGTTGAGGTGTTGGCAGTTGTTTTCCTGTGGTTTTGGTGAGGTGTTGACTCAGTACCTTTCTTGGAGCTGCTGTTGGCTGAAGAGGTGCCCCCAATTCACCTGTAAGGTCCTGGTTTTCTTGCCTGCTTCTCCCAGCTTGTCCAAGAGATAGAATTCCAGTGCTACAGTCTAGATGGGTCGTGGTGCTCCCAAAAGGAGCCTTTGTGCCTTCAGGACAAGTTTTGGTGCCACTGGAGCTGCTGGGAGAAGCATAAGGTTGGCAGTGAGAGGCCTGGAATGATGTTGCTGTGGCACAGAAGAAATGAGCAGTGATGGTACAATTGGCTGTTTTCTCTTGAATGCAATGGTAAGAGGTGCAGGAGTGCAAGGTGTGTGTTCCAGTCCCCAGCATTTGGTTTGCACATGTCCTGGTCAGACCCAGGTTCAACTTCCTCAGTCCTTAACCCAATCGAGGGAGAATTAAGGGCTGGCAGTGTTAAGGTGACTGGTGTGACAGGGGTTAAACTGGGAAAACATTGGGGAATTCCTCAGTTTCCCTATTTGCCAAACTCACCCAAACCAGGGCTAGGAAGAGATTGAGTGGAAAAGTTGAGGCAGAAATGAAATTAAAAACTGGGGATGTTGAAACTGTAATTGCTGGAACTAAATGTGTCAAAGCAGCAGCTCTTGTTGTGCAGGGAATAACTCCTGTCAGCAGCAAGGTCCCGACTGAAGTGGCAGCTGCAATTGTTCCTGTGGTGTGGGCCAGTGGAGTTGCAGGAGGGTGGAAGAGGGCAGAACCTGTAGGTATTACCCCTGATGTGGGATCTATATGGGTAAGGCAAAGCCAGTATCCTTTAAAATCAGAATCCAGCTTGGATTGGTTGCAGTAACAGCTCAATTGGCTCATCCTGGTTTGCTTGTAGGACGTGAATGCAAGAACCTGCCAAGGAACCAATGGCCAAGATGATTGATGAGTGCAGGACCTGAGAGAACCACCTTGAATGACAACCTTAGGTTTAAAAGATGGCCGTTGCCTTTGAAGGAGAAAATCTGGAAAGGGGAAAGGAAGAAGAGAAGCCACCTGACTCCTCCCTGAGCCCTAGACAGCCCCTGAACTGCCTTCCTGGGAATGGTAGGACGGGGTGGACTCTGGATTGCTCCCTCTGGATGTGTGGTAAGACTTTTATACCAGCTTTTAAGAACAGCCTGTAAGCGTTTGCTGCCTTGGCTAGATGGTGCAAGGGCAACCTTTAAGCAGCTAAAGCATTCCCTGAGGAGAGCTCTGGGTCTGCCAGATCTCTCAGAACTGTTGGAAGCATCTTTGCTGGGGAGGGCAAACAAAGGACAAGGTGTGCAGTGACCCCCCTGACAAGGGCCTTTGAGTTAATGGCATCCCTGCCAGTGAACTTTGTGGGCTGTTCCCCCTGTAGGGCAGGTGATAGTCCCAGCTAGAGTGATGGGAAAAATGGTCAAAAGAGAGCCCCAAAAGCTGGAAATCCTCCTGGAGGCTCTTGGCCAACAGAGTTTGCTGAGTTGTCCCTGCAAGAAGGATAGTGACAGCTTTTGAGTGCTGGTAGATGCTTTTAATAGATAGCCTTGAGTGTGTCCTTGTTGCACCAGTAGTGCAAAGTCCCCATATTCCAGGAGATATGCTTATTAAAGTTTAAAATGATCTCCATAATCCTT